GAAAAACATGTTTAGAAGTTTGCTGTAATTGGTTTAAATACTGTTGCTATTGAAAAGTTTCGATCTGGTGATAGAATCTGACCCAAGAAACTTACCTTTCTTGGGATCTGACATGAGAAATACAGAAATATCTACTGTAAGAAAGACTCACTTAAGAATACTTGGATTTCTAATGAAGAGTGTTTGAATGTCATTTAAAGGCTAGCATGTGTCAGGCTTTTTGAATTATGTTATCTCAGTTACTCCTCACAACAGTCCTGTGAGATAGATATTATTATCTCTGTTTTATAGGTGATGAAACAAAGGCCCCTAAAGTTTAAGATCCCATAGCCAGTACTCAACAGCCAGTACATAGCCCAAGATCTCATAGCCAGTACACGGCAGAAGCAGGACCCAGAGCAGACAGACATTCCAGTAGAAGGAAGAAAGTGGGTAGGAGACGTGGGTTCAGAGCCCCACTGGGCCACGCACTCCCTCTGGGACCTTGGGCAAGCTATTTAACATTCTAAGTTTCCCTGCAACTGGACTTTTCTGTGATGCCACTAGCCTGCAGTTAGAATTGACATAAGGAACAATCCTGAGAATCAAGACAGAGTCCACTGTAAAGGTTTCTCTGAGGACACTGTTGAACTGTTCGCAATTGCCTATTTATGAGGGCGTCTGAAAGGAACTCCTGTTTGAGCTGAATTCCAAGGACAGTATATTCCTGAGCAGTTTGTTCACTATATTATGGTTGGTTCTTAACTGTCAGGTTTTCCTTTTAGCATTGGCTCCTGGAAAACTGAGAGCCAAGTTTAAGGCCCATATATAGGAAGAATTTGGACATTTAGGGTAGGCATGTTTCACCTCATTCCTTATTGCATTTTTTGCCTCCAATTTTGTTTTTCTTTTGCTCTCATTTTCATATTATCTTCTTGACTTCTGTATTCCTTTATGCTCCCTTAAATTCTTTTGGATTTTACCCTTAGTTTCCTCATCTGTGAACTTGGGATGATGTTTCTCTAAAGTGTATTTGTAAAGCACTTAGCACAGGGCAACACAGGGTTCGTTCTCTTAGTAACAAACTGATACATTTAAAATAGGGTTCCATTTCCACATTCCTTCAAAGGTGTTCCTTATTGAGTCTCTGTCACATAACTGGCTGATCCACCAACTCTGCTTCCTCCTGCTACTCTATGTCAATGCAGCTACTCTTCTGTGTGATTTGCAAAGTCCTTGGAATATAATGAACTAAAATTTTAAACCCAAACCCTTTTCCTTTCTCTTCCCAGAGGAATTGTAGAAATGGTCTGCTGCAGAAAATATAGAATTGGAGGAACAAGTTTTCTCTTTTTCTTCACTAAAGGTGTTCCTTATTGAGTCTCTGTCACATAACTGGCTAATCCACCAACTCTGCTTCCTCCTGCTACTCTATGTCAATGCAGCTACTCTTCTGTGTGATTTGCAAAGTCCTTGGAATATAACGAACTAAAATTTTAAACCCAAACCCTTTTCCTTTCTCTTCCCAGAGGAATCGTAGAAATGGTCTGCTGCAGAAAATATAGAATTGGAGGAACAAGTTTTCTCTTTTTCTTCACCTTAAAAATGGCTTCCCTTAACCAATTCTTTAGTTTTCCATGTGCTAAAAGCCTTCTAAAATAAGTTTATTTCCACTATGTTAACATATTTTAAAATTTATCAGAAATTAAGTTTGCCGATGAGTGTATGGCTATTAGCAATTTCTTAAATTATCACTTTTTTAAAAAATTCTATCTCATAAAATTCTAAGCATCTGAGGGCTTTTAATTTTGCCAGTTTTCCCCCCACTCCCTAGCAATTTCAAGGTATTCAATTAAAAAGTAAAAAAATGGAATTAATAATATGTATGGAGTAGGTCACTGTCCAGATCACTGTCTAATACTCTTCAGAAAGACGTTGACAGCCAGAGCCCAATAATCTACCTATTTTTTGTCGTTTTTATTTTTGGTAGTTGACCAGTATGAGTACCTATTTTTGCTTAAAGCAATCTGTTGGACCCTTAACACCTGCTGTGTTTAGTGTTGAAAAGTTAATTTGTAGTGCCTATCTGGGCCACATTGCCCCAAGCTTTCCTTTGTTCTCCGTCCCTCCCTCCTTTCTTTTCCTTTTTTCCTTTCATCTTTCCTTTCCCTTTCCTTCCTTTTAAAATTTTTATTGAGAGTCCTTTGGCCACCAGGCTCTGTGCTAAGCACTGGGGATCTAACAGTGAGCAAAACAGACAAGCTCCTATCCTCATGGAGCTTACATTGTGGTGAGGGGACAGGCATTAATCAAATTACATTCACTAATGGAGCAGGACTACAAATTGCAGTAGGCGCCATGAAGGCCCACAGTGCAGCGTGGGAGCTGACCAAGTCTGGGGTTAGGAGACAGCATCTCTGGATTGAGTTATGTAGAATGAGGGACAAGTGAGGATCCTAGGCAGCAGAAACAGCAGGTGCAAAGGCCCCATGGTACTGGGAATCATAGTACTCTGGATAAAATGAAAGAAAGATACCATGGCTGGACTAGACAGAACTAAGGCAGGGGATGGGGGATGCTTCTGGTAAGGTCAACAGAGCCAGAGACACATGCCTTGTAAAGATTTGGCCTTCAGCTTAAGAGCAATGAGAAGCCCTAAAATGTTCCAAGAAAGAACTGTGTTGGTGACCAATGCATCTTAATTTGTCTCTGCAGGAGCGATGCAGTCATACACATGGTCTCTAACATACACGGTGACGACAGCTGCTGGATCCCCAGCTGAAAACTCCCAACAGCTGCCCTGTATGAGAAGCACTCATGTGCCATCTTCCTCCGTCACACACAGGATACCAGTTTATCCCCACAGAGAGGAACATGGGTAGGTGACCTTCCTGGGATGCTGCCTTACTTTTAAATTTTATTTAAAAAGGGGTTTTTTATTTGGCAGCTGTTTTCTTAAAGGACAGGAAGGTTGTTACCCTTTGCTGAGTCCTCACAGTGTGCTCAGCACCATACTGTGGACAGCTGCCTCATGGAGTCCCTACAACAGCCAGGTGAGGTAAGTAGGTAGGTGTTAGTGACCCCATTTTACAGATGAGGAAATTGAGACTTGGTTGATTAACTTCAGTTCCCCAAGGTCACATGGCTGGTAAAAGGTGGGGCCCAGACTGAGCAACCATCTGACTCCAAAATCTGTGTTCTTCCCTCTTTACTCTTTGAAAGCTTCAGCTGAAAACCCTTT